TTAATGACATTGAAAACGAAAAACGTGGAGCGCATGCAGTACAAAGCATTCGATTTCATTGACGATAGTCAAACTACATAACATTCTACAGCGAGAGTACAAATTTGAGATCGATTTTAAGCGGTCGTTATTCATATGCCCACATACATACATATGTTACTTTTCATATCAATTCAAATGTATTACATGCGCCCCACGCTTTTCATTTTCAATGTCATTCATTGTTTATAATGACTTCGCTAAAATTTCAAAATCAAAAGTTACAAAAGAACACTCGCTTAAATGACGAATTGCGCAAATACCTCGCATAATTACTCAATTAAATTGGTTTTTGTATCTAAATCCCGTTAAACTAATCAAATTTTCTTGCCAGCTACAAACAGGGTTGCTTAGGTAGCTAAAAGGAAATTTTACCCGAGTTGAGTGTTGTTTTGTCGCTCGCTTACAAAAAAATTTAGCTAGTATAAATGGTGGTCTGGACATACAACATTCAAAGTGGTCTGGACATACAACATTGCAAGTTGATAAAAGCGTTGGGGCGCATGCAATACAAAGCACTAGATTTAATTGACAATATTCAAACTACATACATAACACTGACCTAAAATTTCTACAGCGAAAGTACAAATTTGAGATCGATTTTAAGCGGTCGTTATTAATATACCCACATACATACATATATTACTCTTCAATTTCAAATCAGGCCTATTACATGCGCCCCACGCTTTTCATTTTCAATCTCATAAATTGTTTATAATGACTTGCTAAAATTTCAAAATCAAAAGTTATCAAAACAAGTTCTATGGGACTGAGAAATATTATTTTCTAATTTTAGTCCATTAATAAAAATGTGGTACATTAAAAAGTTTTGTTTTTAATTTGTTTTATTCTTTTTAGTCTTGTCTGTATAAAATTTTGCAATAGATACTAAAATAATACCACTTGCAGTGAAAAAGAACAGAAGACTATGCAAGCACAATGTTGTTTGCTCACATTTAGTATAAACATACATATGTACATACATACATATAGCAGCAGTTTATTTCATTTAAAGAAATGGCGTGTCATCCATTTCCGCTGTAGTGTATATAGTGCATATTTTTAACTTCTTCTGGCGAGGCGACATCTATCTCTAGAGTTTTTCTAATTTTATGTCTTTGATATGATACCTACGACGAGCTTGATATCTAGACCAGTGCCCGCCCAGTGATGCCAGATTGTGGGTAATTTCCCTATTTGAGGGATATTTTGCAACAAAAATTATTAAAAGGGAAAAAAGGGACATTTCAAACAAATACGGGATTTTCTTTTGGTGGAGTTATTGTTGCATAATTGATCCAAATTTAAGAATATTCGACATTCTTACGTAATTAATCTTTCTGAAGATGTGATGTGGAGTGAAATGGTATATAATTGTTAAAAAGTATAAGGACAATTTCGAAAATTTTCTTACGTTAACCAATTCAAGCGCTGAGTAAGAAAGAATCTTTTCAGTTACAACTGGTGTTTCATGTAAAAAGCGGAACAAATTCTCTGATGAAATGGTTAATAGCACATGAATGTGCTTCAATTTTAAAGTCACCAAAAAATTTTTTTAGGCCCTTAGTGAGTGAGCAAAAAAATTAAAGTGAAGCCGGCAGGCAATGGCAAACCTCCGAGTATATTCCTGCCATGAAAAACAGCTTCTCATGAAAATACACTCGCCATTCGGAGTAGGCGTAAAACTGTAGGTCCCTCCCCTTTGTGTGACAACATCAATGGGCACGCCACAAATTGGAGGAGAAGCACATATGTGTAAGCGCCAATTATTATTATTATTATTTTAAATGAATTTTACTTCTTTACTACTGAAACATGTATATGTTTAAATTCGTAGGGAATTTTGTGGGATAAATTTTTAAGCTGTGGGTAATTGAGTGATTTTTTCCCCCTTTTCGCGGGATTTTTAACAGAGAATGTCTGGCATCACTATGCCCGCCAAACACTTTCCTGGGAAACGAACTATATTCGGCCTTTCACATGTACACAATCGGCTTCTTACACGTACACAATCCGAACGTCAAGAGAAAGAGTAGAAGGGCAACAAATTTTATTTAGTTGCATGCAAACCACAGTATACCAGTAGAAAAGGTTTTTGTTGTTGTGGCTGTTAATTTGGTCCCCATAAAGGACTTGAGGGTTGCCAGCAACTGTTTTGCCGCATTCAGGGTGCTGTGCAGGAAAATATTGTGGTGAAAAATTTTAACATCGGATAAATGGCGAGAGAAATATTGTTGTGCGCTTTATAAATAAAAATGACCGTAATAAAATATTTTATACTTCAATACAACTAATTAGCGCTATTTTTGCAATTCGAAATGATCTTCAAAATATTTGTAGTGAAATATGTACTTTATGAGTTAAATGGAAACTATTTTATATGTAAAAATATATTCCGATTTACTTAAAATAAATGATGTAAAATATATATATATATATGGATCTAGTTTTAATAATAATATCTAGTACTTTCATCTACATTGCTTTTATTGTAAGTTTTCACGAGTAGTTGCAGTTTTCTGCAATTGTCTCTGGCCGACTATACATGCTAAAGCTAAATAATTTCACAATTTCTACCCTATTAAACGCTTATATTTTAATAAAATGTGATCAATTACTTAAAAATATATAGTTTACGATCAAACTATAGTACTGAATGCTTGAGAGACAATTATTTAAATCAAATGATCAATAGTGAACGCACTCGGAGCGAATTTTGGAACACTGAGCGAATTATGTATATTAACAGTAAATTATTTCTAACTTTCTACCCTATTAAACTTTTGTATTTTAATAAAATGTGATCAATTACTTAAAAATATATAGTTTACGATCAAACTATAGTACTGAATGCTTGAGAGACAATTATTTAAATCAAATGATCAATAGTGAACGCACTCGGGGCGAATTTTGGAACACGGAGCGAATTATGCATATTAACACTAAATAATTTCTAACTTTCTACCGTATTATACGTTTATATTTCAATCTAATATGATTAATTACTCGGCCGCTGTGGTGTAGTGGTAAGCAGTACGCGCTTCCACTCCGCAATGCCTGGGTTCAAACCCTGGTCAAAGCAACATCGCAAAAAATATAGAAAAAAGGTTTTTCTTAACAGCGGTCGTCCCTCGGCAGGCAATGGCAAACCTGCGAGTGTATTTCGCCATGAAAAACAGCTTCTCATAAAAATACAATCGCCGTTCGGAGTCGGCGTAAAACTGTAGGTCCCTCCGCTTTGTGTGACAACATCAAGGCGCACGCCACAAATAGGAGGAGAAGCTCGGCCAAACACTAACATATGTGTAAGCGCCAATCTAAAAAAAAAAAAAAAATTACTTATTAATATATAAACTCCGATCAAACTTCACTACTGAGTGCTTGACAAACAATATTTGAATCAAAAGATCAATAGTGAACGCACTCGGAGCGAATTTTGGAACACGTTATAAAATATTGATGTTAAGACTAAGTAATTTCTCATAAGCTTATGTTTTAATATAATATAATTCATTACTGAAGAATATATTAACTCCGATCAAACTATAGTATTAATTGTTTGACAAACTATTTAAATCAAATGATCAACATGTAACACTTCATAAAATATTTACAGAGGAAGTACGTTATTTGGTAGAGATCAAAATGTATTTAACAAAGTGTGATTGAATTTGACATTGCTCTCAGAAGAACCATCCTATAAAGTCAAATTGAAAAAAATTTGTATGAATTTTAATCGTTTGTTTATATTTTTTTACATAAATCTTAAAAGAGAGCCGCACTGAGTTGTCAATAACACCCATGATACAAATATTTAAAGGTAAAACCGCTTGCACAATTCGTCGGCCATCATTTACTTTTTGAAGTTTGTCTATTTTATAAAATTGAAATTTTGAGAGCAACTCAAATGCCAAATAAAGGTAAAACAAAAAACAAATAGATGAAAATATTGAAATTTTCATTTATTTGACACTTAAGTATAATGAGAATGTATTTGTGAGATTGGAAATTTGAAAACATTTTTGTAATGTTACCAAACTTTAAAAATGTACAGACTGCCTTTCAACGGTTTTACCTTCAGATTTTTGTATCCTGAATACACCTTAGTCGAGATATCACGAACAAGTTTTCCTTTATTTATTTTTGCTTAAAATCCTTAAATAAGTATCTTGATTTTTTTCTGTAGAATACGTATTAATTTTTTTTAACGATTTAAAAAAAGGGAGGACAGTCGGATCTACGTAACCAGAACGACCTGAATGCGCATTGAAATCGGTTGTATTTTTTGCTAAAAACTATTTGTTATTATTGAGATACAGTTTCGCTATTATTTAGAGATTCCTCGACATACTTTTTCATATTACTGTTATTTATTATTTTTCTTATTAGTCATTTATATGTTTGGGACTTACTGTGGGTGCTTTAAGAATTCATTTTGTAAATATGTATGTACATATAAAAAACAATTGCGATATCTTATTTTAAATTATGAATTTTATTCGTGCAATTTTTTATGTTTAATAGTTTTGAGGACATTTTTTGGTTCTGTTGGTTCTTTTATTGCATGCCTTAAACTTTTTTACTTTAAGTTATAATGTTGAAGATATGCCTTCTGCCTTTGTCAAGCACTTGCGAGAAATTTAGCATATGCGCGTAAGAGCATAGAGTAGGTATACGGCTGTGCTGCCGTGATTCTCCAACATCTTGTCAACATCTTCACTGAAATGAAAATGTTTTTTATTATGAATAGCTATAATTAAGTTTCATAAAGTTCAAGGTGGTACAATTTAAACAAAAAATTGAAAAAAGAAATAAAGTATCTCAATCAAAAATTCCCGGCAGCCACAAAAACGCACTTGCCAATATAGCAACTTAGTTGCCAGCTTTCAGTTGCTAGTTGCCATCGGTAATACCATTTCAGCCACTGGCCAACCAACTGAAGTTCGGTTGTCCTCCGTAATCGACCCATAAAATCGGAATCGAATATGCATGCACGTTCTGCTGAACGATAAATATTTTTTAAATGAGTGCTCTGTCTGCTAACGAATTCCAGCCATGTGTGAAATATCGTATGTGAAGCGTCCGTCTGACTTAACGATTGTCAAAGGCATGCCAGAAGATGTTTCATCATATGTTTTCGGCCATCGTCTTCTTCGAGTAAGTTCATCGATACCAAAAACTTTACAACCTATATTTGCCAGCAGCCCTTAGTGTTTTTGCCAATGACATGGTACTATTGCACTGTTAATAACCAAATTAAGCCGCAGTTGCATTCACACGTGATATAATAGCTAGTGTCGGCAAGCTGTGGGAATGCCCAGGAGATGGCGTTTGTTCAGCTATCGAAATCATTACACCGACGGCGGTGGGCAGCTCTGCTGGAACATATTTACCACAGCAGTGGTTTGGGGCGTTTTGTTCTGCAACAAAATCCTGCAATGATGACTATAATGTCGACGAACAAAGATATAAAATTTAAAATGACCAACCTTATGCCCTGCCGATTTGGGACATGCCCTTGGTCACGACCAGAACGCATTTACCAAGAGGAAAAACCGCAGGGATTGCAGTAGTTCTTGCAATCACCGTTGATGATGCTGTGCTTGTAATTAATAGTCTGAAAATACAAAAAAATGCATTAATGAAATCTTTTACACATCAAATAAATAAATTTCAATAATTTGTTTACCATTTCACAAACCGAATTACCAAGAAATGGAAACTCACCGCGATGCGATACAGAAATAAAAACCAACAGGGCTGCATTTTCTTGGTAAACAACACAAGCGCTCAGAGCAAACTGATCCGCAAAATTATTTTGTGAAAAATAATAGCTGAAAAGAGCTTTTACTAGGGCTGTGCGATTAATTGATTATTCAAAATTTTAATTAATCATAAAGTAAATAACTCAATTATTCGATTAATCGGAAATTATGATTACTCAAAAGTTCAGTTACTCGAGTAATCAAGATTTTGATTAACCCAAAACAAAACTATTTATGATTAATCAACATTATGAATAAAATGAGTAATCAACATTTCAAAGTACTCTTTACATACATACATATAAAGCAGTTGAAGTTCCTTGATACTTTGAAAAAAACGTATCTGTTTTCAAAAATTAAAATGAAATACATACATACATACATATTTTTTTCATATACAGAATATAAAAAAGAAAATAAGCATTTTCCAAAGCAACCTCTTTTAACGAGCAAAATTAATTTTTTTTAGTAATCATATTTCAAGTAACTCGATTAATCATCGTTTTGAGTAATCAAAATCTTGATTACTCGAGTAATTGATTAACCGAATAACTGATTAACCAACTTGCTCGAGTAATCGAATAATGCCACAGCCCTAGTTTTTACACATAATTATCACATCTATACTAATTATATAAAGAGAAGTCCCTTTTTTTTTGTAACAGGTAATCTCGCGAACGGCTGGTCCGATTTTCATGAAATTTTGTATACAAATAGCTTTTTCTTTTTTTCGGGTAGGTGGACCAGGGACCGGTCTATTCGAAAAAATCTTATTATATCCCGATTTGCTTAAAATTTATTACGTAAGTAGCTTTTTAGCATATATTAGCATATATGACCCATTTTTTCCGAGAAGTGGACCAGGGACCGATTTGCTTAAAATTCGGTACGTAGGTAGCTTTTTAGCGTATATT